GACCATCGCGGATTCACGTATATACATAATGTAATGAAAAAAGTCCGCGAAGTCGTGAATCCGCGATAGTCGAACCGCGAAGTAGCGAGGGTTCACTGTACAGTTCTGGGCCCCCCAGTATAGAAAGGATGTGAATGCATTGGAGAGGGTCCAGCGGAGGGTGACCAAAATGATTAGGGGGCTGGAGTGCATGACCTATGAGGAGAGACGGAGGGATTTGGGATTGTTTAGTCTGTAGAAGAGAAGAGTGCGGGGGGATTTGATAGCAGACTTCAGCTTCCTGAAGGGAGGTTCCAAAGAGTATGGAGAAAGGCTGTTCACAGTAGTGACGAATGGCAGAACAAGGAGCAATGGTCTCAAGTTACAGTGGGAGAGGTCTAGATTGAATATTAGGAAAAAGTATTTCAGTAGGAGGGTGGTGAAGCACTGGAATGGGTTATCTAGGAAGGTGGTGGAATCTCCATCCCTCGAGGTGTTTAAGTCTTGGCTTGACAAAGCCCTGGCTGGGTTGACTTAGTTGGAATTGGTCCTGCCTTGGGCAGGGAGCTGGACTTGATGACCTCCTGAGGTCTCTTCCAGTTCTATGATTCTATTGATGAACATTTGGTCTTGAGAGTGAACTATAAAACTTGAGGAAATACTTTTTTCTTCTTCACCTAGTAGAGATTCTGGTTCTGCTACTAGAATAGTAATTCAGCTTTATGTATTGCATGTGAGTCCCACACTTTTCCTCTGAGAAGGTATGGTAAGGGATGCTTCAGCACAGTGTTGCCAAATCTTAGGATTTTTTATTGTGAATTTCATGATATTTGATGTTTTTCTTAAAGTTCCAACGGCTGAGTAGATTGCAGAATAATTTCAGCATTACATATACATATATTATACACATATTACATATAAGCTTCTAGTCCTCTTAATTGAAGAGAAAAGATTGAAGCAAGAGCACAGGAAAATCTCAGAAATCAGAAGGATAATTTTAAAAAATAACAAATCTATATATTTTAATTAATTATTTTCAGTCCAATCTCATGATTTGAAGAGTCTTAGCTGAGAGTTTTAATATTTGAAGTTAGCATTGCAAGGTCATCAGCTGGATGAAAATTTATAATGGGTTGAATTAAAACCCCATTGATGTTGATGTGCATGCACTCACCCTTCAGCTATCTTAACTGTAAACATATGCCCCATTTGCCATATTAATCATGCTTTGGCTTGCCCTTTCTCCCCATCTCACATTCCCTCTCTGTACACAGTTACACAGTTGCTGCCCCTTCAGTTGCAAGTTTGCTGCTTCTATCTCCACACAGAGGATTATGTTGCTCAGAAGCAAGACAGGAAGAGCAACTAGCTAACCACAAAACAGGGAAACTGACTACATACAATGAGGTCAAACAAAATGGAAAAGAGAGGAAAATATATTTTGTTCTCCAATATTTTTCAATAATGGAAATGGTAGGTTTAAATTGTAAAATGCTGGGCATGTTTTCAGATGGCAATGGAATTTTCCAATGATCACCATCAAACAATAATTGGAGTTTTTCAGTGATCCTTTTCAAATAAAAATTGGTCATGTTACTTTGTAGACAAGTTTACTAATTCATAAACATGTTTATGAAATATAAGAAACTACCTGTCTATATCTTGTGGGAGATCTCTCAGTTTGTTGTTGCTCATATCCAGCCAGTGCAAACTTGACATCCGGAGTATACAAATTGGAATAGTGGGAAACTTGTTTGCTGACACATCTACAAATGTGACTTGTTTCAAGTTACTTAGCTGGAAAGAAACAATGCAGCATTTTAGTTACATTCTACCGAATATCTTGTGCATATCATTGCGCTCTTCAAATAAGTATCATAGCTTCACTGGACCACTTGAAGTACTGAGTATTGCATAATATTTCTGATTTATCCTTGGTTTTCTGCCACACGTCATAGCCATCACTGTTCAGGGTGATACCAGACGTAACAACCTGCAGAACTTTTCAACACCTTTCCATCCACCAGAGAGACCTCTAAACATGGAATGACGTGTTATTTGCCTTTTAAAGAAGCCTTTTGTGTGAGAAAACAGTAACTGGG